ATGGTATCCTGATATTTGTTTCTCAATCCATTGGCTTCAAAAATTCCCCAACCTTCAAAAACGTCTGCGTCAAACGTTCAAACTTAGTGACCACATTCTTGCTATTATTTCTTTTAACTTCCTTGTGAGTTCTTTTTCTTTAGTTAATCAATATCATCCTTTACCACTCTACAATTGTTGTGCATAAACACTACAAATCTACAAAGGGGAGATGTCAATGAATTCCCGTTTAAATTCTTGTTATGAAATTTGACTCAGGTGGTCAGGCCCGCAACCATCTTTCATAAGAAGATATGGAACCCTACATTTAGTGCTTGTGATTATTTGAAAAGTGATTTTGTTTTGGAGGATATGTTGTTAAAATCTTATGGAAAACTTGAATTTTATTTATTTATTTATTTTTCTGGAGATGTGTGTTTTAAAATGTGTGTGGGACACAAGTGAATTTCAATAAATCACTTTCAAACAAGGGCTCAGAAAGGGTCTCTAACTTTGGAGGTGAAGCTTTGGTATAATGATTTTTTGACATGTATTTGCATTTGGTCAATTACCTGTTTGGGAGTTAAATTGAACCCCCTAATGCATTTTCTTTTATACCAGTAGAAGAGATTAATCAGTTTGTCACTGGCAGGTCCTGGTCGCCAGATGATATTGCATTCCATTCCCATTAGAAGAAATCAATATATTCTGCAGTTCTTCGAAGAGCACATTGAACCTCCTTCTTCCATTTCCCAATTGCAAGTTCTAAAACTCCATTGATATTTCGAAGAGCACACTGAACCTTCATCCCCCCCCCCCCCCCCCCACGCCCACCCCTTTTTTTATGTGGGACCGACCCCGAGGGGTCGGTAAGACCCTGAGAAGCTCAGCTCTGTACACAGAGTTTAATACTTATATTTATGAGTGACATGGCAATTGTTTCTTGTCATGAATTCAGTAATGTTTTTCCCCTTGTTTTACCTTTTGTCTACAGGTGTTGAAGTATGTAGAATGCAGCTTTGGATTCTACAAGACTGTAAAATATTACTGGCTGAATTTTACTTTCTTTTTCATCCTAGTATTGTTCAATCTTCCTATCAAAACGTCATAAATTTTATCTTTATTACATTGGAGGAAGCATAGGCACGTCAATTCTGGCTCCCTGATTTTGTCATTCGAGAAAGCAAATGCACAAGAGTGAAGAACACAAAAGACGTACAAACACGCCCACCAGCCACCCTATGACTCCAGTACCAATGATGATGATTAGAAATCAAAGCTACGAAAGGTTGATGATCACATGGTGTTATATGGTTGAATGTTGAGCAAGGGAAAATTGGGGGCGGTTTTATGTTGAAAAAATAGTCCATGAAAAAGAGAGGTGAATATATTTTTAAAAATTATCATTAAAAAGACAATAAGTGGATTTGTGGCCTTCAATTTAATGTTTTCAATTAACTCGATTAAATGTATTGTGTATAAACAATTATATTATAAGCCTGTTTGAGCCACAATTTTTGCTCAAAATACATTTTAGAATAGTATTTTTATGGAAAAATTTGGTTAAAAAATAAGAAAAAATTTTGAGTTTGCATGTAATATTATTTTATCGAAGGATGTGTGGTTAAAAATAAATTAGAGAAAAATTTATCTTGAAAATAATGAAGACCGAACAAGGCTTTATCGAAATTAATAAAAAATTCTGGACAGGTTTGGGGTGGAGATCCCATCCCCTATCCCTACGAGTATCTGTCTTGTGATGGAAATTTTTGCTCCGTCTCTGTCCCACCAACCCGATTAAGAGGGTTATCCTCATCCCATTTGTGGGCATGTCCTCATAGGGATCGGTTCTGCACTATGGCAAAGTACTCATTACTCTACATGTTTAATATGACAACCTTTTGCTTTTCGAAGTGGAAAATTTTATCATCCATGATTAAGACAATGCTTTTGCTGCATTGTAGGTCTTTTGACAAAATATCCACATGAGTAGATATGGTGACAAAATGAATAAAGTGGACAAAAAAATGACACAAGTAGTTGATCCCAAACTTATCTGGAGTGACACTTTGTTTATAATATAAACTAGGTTTTGTCAACGGGGGGTAAATCTTATTCTCCACATGATTTCATAAGACATTTGAGATTCATGATGATCTAAAAAGCAATAAGCAGCCTCTTAGAGGCGACGCCTTATCACGACATTTGTTAAATGACCAAGGAAAATCGCTTGGGGAACAATTATAGACGTAAAGATGAGAGAATCGTATGGAGAAATCCAAAAAGATCCAACTTAGATAAGGGCTGTTTCACCGACAAAATTGTCATCCACCCAAAATCGATATTAGAACACCCAACTGAGTCACTCTCCTAAAATAGTCTACCTTGGAACTTTTGGATCAAAACATGGTATGTACCTAGAACTAGCATTCCTGATAAAACACGAACCTGAAGGCTTAAAGGTTTCAAATTAAGTATGTGAAGAAGCCACGCATAACAAAAATCAATAGAACCCACTTCAAGATTTCCCTAAATCAACATAGTCATATCTGATACAATCAATTTCTGTCCAAAATACTAAAAAAAATTGTGAAATTTACAAGGCCTACAATTACTAGAAATCAAAATGAATTGGGTTAGTCAGAGATCAAACGATCAACTATCAAATTGCTAAGAACTGTAGGAAATTACTGGAAATCCACATTAATATCAATTAACGAGAAGAGTAATAGATAATCCTATTCTCTTGAAAAAGAAGGAGGATAAGAATGTATTAAACTACACTCGACCATTGCCAGACCTCACATTTTTAATTTGGAGTCCAAAATGATTATTGGTCATTTAGTGAAATGTTGAGAAATAGTGCTGACGTTGTACAATTGACTCAATTGAATTTGTTCATTTGACCAGAACGTTCAGTTCAGTTAAGTTACTGAGTTTTAGTTTACTTTCTAGAAAATAGTAATTTGAAAATCATGTTAAGCAAATATTTAGTTTAGGAGCAAGTTTAATTTATTTTTATGTACAACTAAATATATCCCACAAAAAACATAGAATCGAAATTCAAGACGAGGAGGAGAGGTATTTTATGTCACGAACTCAATGTTATAACTTTGTTGCAATATAAATCAAATCATACACCACTTCTTTGTAAATACGCTTATATATTCGTTAGATGTGTTAGGAGTTATATTTCTCTTTTTACTTTGTTTTTGGGTGCAAAAATTGTTGATTTGAATTGCTTGGTTTAGGAAATAATTGGCTGAATTAAATTATTTCGGACCTTACTTGTGGATCAAGCACAACAATGTACATTGGCATCTACAAATTCACTATTTCATTATTCATTACTATTTTTGAGTAAGAACTAACCCAATGGTTCATAACTCTAATGTGGACGAGTCTTTCTTTGTTTCACAAGTAATAGTTTTCATTGATTGAAAGCAATATTTTTCACAAATTTTACAAACAGACGTTCTTATTTTCATATTAGACATTCCTTATCTTAATTCTGAATGTACTTGGAAGAAAATAACTTTCTGAAGTTAAGAGTACAACACTTTGGAGTGTGCAATGAATTCTTTGCTCAAAGAAAATAATCAGCGTGATTCTATGCATTTTGCCAATGTGCAGGAGGGAAATGAAAATTTCTAATTGTGTAAGTTGCGAATAGTGTGTAAATGAACTTGAAGCAAAATCAAACCCATGTTAATCCTTGACCTATGAAATAATTAAGAACTAGCAATCCCTTGATCTAAGAAATAATACAAGCAAAATATTATTTTAATAAATGCTAAAAAAAAAAAATAAAAGCAAAATAGTCTGGACATATAGAGTATTAAGAACCAACAATTCATAAGCTCTCCGCACTCTGTATTTCAAACACAATACTTGCAATCATTCTTGAACTACTGTTGAAAGAGAGTTGCGTAGCTCTCTCGAGAATCTATGCTGAAAAAGTTTATTTTTGCTCAAACTCCATCAAAAATTCAAAACGCATCTTTCACCTCAAACATTTGACTAATCTATACCCACATTCCCCTGACAACAATGAAAGGAAACATAAATTAATTTTGAATATATATATATATATATATATATATATATATATGAAATTTAGAAAATAACTTTAGCTCTTATTTGTCTACATTCCTGAAGAAGTCATTTTTTTTCTTTTTAAACTCATTTTCAAACACACATTCGCACAATAAAATATTTTGCTTATAAATCCAAAATATTTTCTTACTTTTTAACTAAATGTTATCTAAAACTCACTATTCCAAAATCCTTTTTTTGCCAAAAAAATCTTTTTAATGGGCATTGAATAGGGGCTTAATGTACTGTAGAATATATATAATTGATCAGCAAATTGAGCACCTCATCAAATTTAAACTGTATTAATAAATTCAACATAGCGAAAATATATACTATTAACAAATCCATAGAATTCTTTAATATGATTTTCAATTTACCAAACGAAAATAATTGTAATAACAAGTACTTCCCAATAAAAATAGCGATTGATATATTGGCGGTCTTTTGGATGAGAAATACACAAGACGATTTACCAATTAATAACACTACTTAGGCATATTTAATTTATATTTAAAACATACAGTAAATCATTATAAGCTATAATAAAAACAAATAATGAAAACTTAAGTGGTTTTGCTCAATTACTTACCAACTATACAGCTCAGGTCTCTTTACCCACGTTTTTACAGTCCAATTATGCGACGAATATGTGAAATCTTTGACCACTCGGAATCAGCGCCTCTTTCTTCCCTGCACCTCTCCTCCAACAATGGACAGTGATGAACATATAAAATTTCTAGCTTGGTGAGGCGTTGCATCGCTTCCTTAGAGAGCATATGCCTAAGCTTTTGACAATTCGTCAACTCTAATTTTGAAAGAGATGACAGACTCCCAAACCACTCCGGCAATGCTTCAATTCCAAAACCATCTAATTTTATGCTTTTGAGCGAAGTGAGATGCTGAAGTTGATATGGCAATAAGTCCTCATGTTCCCAACCATATAATTTCAATCCGTATAGAGATTTGGATTGTTGGATGCCATCGAAAGCAGCTTGGAATGAGTTGAAATCAATTGATTTTGAGAATCTACCAAATTTCAAATATCTTAAGTTGTTAAGATGACCAATTCCTTTGGGCAAACTCCTCAATTCAGGACAATCGTATATCGATAACGTTGAGATACAAGGCAATTCCCCCAAATCTATTGAAAAAGAGACGAGTTTGTGGCATTGACTCACCTGTAGATGCTCCAGACACTTGATGGACTCAATCATTTCACTTGGTAGGCAGCTCAGCTCAGAGCAGTAAAAAATTTCCAACCTTCGAAGAGAAGGGAGACCTTTTTGTCCACTTTGATAAGAAATTGATTGCAGACTTCGACATCCAATTATTGTCAAAGACTCAAGAGATCGGAAGCTGTGTAGATCATCAAGTAATTCTCTCAATTTTTCACAATCCATGATAATCAAAATTCGAAGATATTTCTGGCATCCTTTCAAGTGAGGAATAAGAGTGGTGAGTGTTGATATTTTCGTGATCGAGAGCTTTTCCAAAGAAGTTGGGTTGTTGCTGCTGCTCAAAATCTTTGTCAATAGAAAATCACTATCCATGGTATCAATCTCCAATTCTTTCAAGCAAGGGAAATGACTTGGAAAAGTATTCAATTTGGGGCACTTTTGAATCTTCAAAACTTTAAGGCAAGGAAATACCTGCTCTCTGCATGTTCGTGCTTCTGCCACTGGCATCACTTCAGCTCTCGCCCACTCTGTTAGGTTTGGCATGTTCTTTAAAAGGAGCCTTTCAAGGGCTGGGAACATTACTCTTGTCTCTTGGCAACTGTAGAGTGAACGACCTATGGATCTCACGTTAGTCAAATTGTCTAAGGTAAGATATTTGAGGAATCGGAGGTGGCCGAACAAGGGAATTTCAACACAATTCCTGCAATTTATGAACTTGATCTCGATCAATTCATGGAATACTTCCATTTTCATAGTCCATGATGGGAAGTTTGTATCTCTGAACCCTTTAATTGTTATGCTCTTTAAAGTCAGGTGAGGTTGGAGGCCTTCAAGGACACTTTTATCGTTGTTGCCTTCCGAGACATTCTCATCTATGTTTGTTGTCCACATAAAACCTAACTTATTTATCTTTGGCTTTCCAACCAAATCTGCCTTCTTAGCTTCTTCTATGCCGTTCACTAGTTCAAGATTGTGTATATCCAGTTTGCCTGTAAGATTCTTCAAAGATCCTAGCTCTTCGATTCGGCTGCCTTCCTCGTCACCCACTCTAAAATACATTAATGTTTGAAGATGAGACAACTTTCCAATTTTGGGCGGCATCTGGAAATCTCTACCATCAAAATAAAAGTTGAGATGTCTCAAATTACTCAAGTCAGATAGCCTTTCTGGAAGCCGTTGAAAGTAAAAGCATTTCAAAATCCTTAATGTTTGCAAATTGTAGAGCTTGCAAATCGAATCTGGCAAAGTTTTCATTTTATAATTTTCGGATGCATCAAGATATCTCAAATGTATCAACTTTCCAATTGCAGAAGGAAGAACTTCAACGCCTGTGCCACATAACTTTAGAGTGTGCAGGTGCTTGAACCATGGCAAAATTTTATCAGGTAAGCTTCTCCTTCGCAAGAAAAACGTGCGCAGATAATTTGCTTTCTCTTCTGTTATCGCTTGTTCCTTTTCCAGCAATTTCATTGCAAGGTATCTAACTTTAGGGATGACATCAGTAGAGCAATCCGCGGCATTAAAGCTTTCTGAATTTGAAACTGAGCATGCAAGCTCACGCACAAGATCATGCATCTTGCAGTATTTGATATTTCCATAGTCATCCTTTTCGGCCTCTTGTAGGAAGGAATTTTGCAACAGATTGTTAAAACATCTATTGCCTAAAGTCTCCATATTATTTTCTCCATCATCCAGAAGAAATCCTTCCGCCATCCAGAGTTGGATTAAATCTTCTCTCTCTATTTGTGAATCCTCAGGAAATATTGAACAATAGGCAAAACATTTTTTAAGTAATGGAGAAGATAAACGATCAAAGCTTAACTTTAAGACTTGGAACACAATGTTCTGATTTGCTTCAAGATTTGAAAGCCCGATCTCTAGAACTGAAATCCACTCAGCTACTTCCTTTCCTTGCAAAGCTCCACCTACCATGTTTGCTGCTAATGGTAGACCTCCACATTTGCAAGCAATCTCATATCCAACTTTCTCAAATGGTTCTGGTACTTCTGCATCTCCAAAGGCCCTAGCTTTGATTATTGACCAGCATTGATCATCTTTTAATAATTCCAACCTGTATGGATCTCTGTAAGTTTTCACAATTTATGCCACCTTTAGATCACGTGTAGTCACCATGATGACATTTCCTTTATTCGGGTTAACTCCAGCCATGGTATTTTTGAAATCATCCCAAAGTTGTCTATTTTCATTCCAAATATCATCAAGAACAAGTAAGTATTTTTTGCCTCCCAATTTCTTTCCAAGCTTTTTCACTATAGCTTCCCTATTGTCTCCATCAGAAGTGTCTTCCAAGCATTCCAGAATCCTTTTAAAAATTATCGTCACATCAAATTTTTTTGAGATGCATACCCAAATCGTTTCATCAAAATGACTTTGTGTGCTCGGATGATTGAAGACCGACCGAGCTAAAGTTGTTTTGCCTAGTCCTCCCATTCCAACTATGGGAAGGACTGAAATAACTGCGTCATTTGTTTTGGTTATCTGTTGCACAATTTCAGATTCATCATTTTGTCTCCCAATGAGAATTGGATCAACAGTTTTGCTATCAGTTTCCGTGGCCGAAGGCAAAGACGGAGCAAAGTCAGCAACTCTATGGAGGCCATAGGTATTAGCTTCATTTTCGATCACTTTCAAGTCGACGTTGATGTCCTTGATCCTGCGAGCCATTCTCCATCGGAATGCCAAAGGAGGGGTAAAGGAAAAGAAGTTTAAGCATCCCATTATCTTAGTCTGGTTTTGGATAGTCTGGTTTTGGATCTCCACCATGTGACGCATATTTTCATAGTTGATCTTATCCAAAACATGATCAGCATCGTAAGCAACATCTCGAAGTTTCTTGAGCCAGAGTTTGACAGCCTCATCGATAACTTCGCGTTTCTCAGCATCTTGTAAGACACGATCCATCATTTTCAACGAATCGTCTAACTTTGTCAAGTCTTTCTTGAAACCCCACACCAGACTCAACTCTGAAGTGGCGGATGCAAGTAACTTCTCCACTGTCACTTGAACGGAGGCACTAATAACAGCATCCATTGTCTTGCTTTGGAATTGTGTTGTGTGTGATTGATTGATTTTGGAGAGAGAGAAAAAAGAGAGAGGGGCAGAAATGAATGCAGTTTTGCAGTTCGTGTTTTTTGGCATTAGTATTGAGGAATCATATAATTATTCATGACAGATGCGCTAATTATGGATTTTCAAGGAGAAAACATTATTTAATTAACAATCAGACGGAAAAATGCAATGTTGTATGACAAAATATCACATGATAACTGGCCCCTAATGTTCCACAATACTGCTACTCCACATATTTAAATAAGGATGCATGTGTATCCATAAACAAAGGTATTAGATGAGACGAAGGAGCGAAGGCTTAAGCAATAACTCTAGTAGGACAAGCTTCATTACAAGATCATGCGTAAAATTAGATTAGGAACAATTATATAAATAAATAAATAAAAATAAAATTTTGAGCGTGAACTTACTTGTTATTAATAAATAAAAATTTAGCAAAAAATCATGTGAAATTAAAATCGCACGTTCACTTTTCGTGAAAAATACCAACTGAAGTGAAGGATTTTATCAAACAAGAGACTGGATCAATTGTTCAATCAAATGACATTAAGCTTATATTGTAATAACTTAATACCAAAATTGTAGTTTCCAGTAACCCTTCTTTCATATGAATAAAAAAAATATTTTAATTTAATCATCTATAATCTTCTACAGCATCGTTTAAGAATATACCAATTTGTCCTAAAGTTGACCTCTTCTTATTGTCTAAATTCACTTATAATCCCACATTAATATTTACAAATTCCTTCGTTAATTTAAAATATTAATAATTTAGGTAGTGGGTCTGAAAGAGAACCATTTTGGTGTACGTGGCAAAGAACTGTGTGTGACGAAAATATTTAATCAAAATTTACATAATTAATTAGTTGATGTGTAAACCATACTTGTTAAAAGGAGTAATTTGAGTATTTTAGCGATTTAGGATTTTCAACCTTACGTACTAAAATGTTGATTTTTATTATTATTATTATTATTTTTTTCTTTTTAGAAATCTGACTACTTAAACATTACCCATGAAATTGTATACATCTATAATCAATTTAAACATTATAATGTCAATATATATGAATTCTTTTCTGTTTTGTTCATCATGGATAAACTCCATTCGTATGGAAAGACCATAACGAGAGTTTTAAGCTCCAAAAGAATGACATATACATTGAGGTTCTGGACCGACATCTTGAGATAGATGAGGAATTTAGAACGATTAGTTTCAAGGAAAAACATGGATCATTGTGGATAAAAAAAAGTTTGAAAAGGGATGATCATCAACAATACCTTGAATAATTCAAAAGATGAAGGTTCCAAGTAACAGAAAGGGATCGGTATAATTTTCAGCAAGATGAGACAACTCAAAAGAGAATATCATCATTTGAAGAATTTCTAGGAATGTCATCGCCACTTGCATGCATGAATGACAGGAATTTAAAATTTTAGCTAACAATTCACATTTGATTTTTCAATGAAAATGGGAGTCAATTTTTTAGCATTATGAATTTTGAAAATCAGAACCCTTATATATTCAAGGTTCAATTTCATAATATTTTTTCGTTAAAAAAAAAAAAAAAAAAAAAAAAAAAAGCACATAGAAGTAGCAAACATTTTAAAAGACGCAGGAACTTATTTTGTATTGTTATCAATATTTTACAAATTTCAATTTTAATTTTAGAACACGGCAAATTAATTCTATAATAATTCAAAAGATGAAGGTTCCAAGTATTGAGCCCCATTTTTTTGAAAAAATATATTTTTAAACAGTATTTTGATATCATTCCAATCACAAATTCTTTAATAAAATAATATTACACGAAAATATAAAATTTTTCCTTATTTTTTAACTACATATTTAACATCATTACACTATTCAAAAATGTATTTTATTGGCAAAAATGTGGCTCAACAAGTGCAATTATAAAGGGTTAGTGAGAAATGAAAGCATGGAATCTTTTGTGTGGCAGGTGAAGATAAGATCTAGCGGTTGAATATATTAATTTTTATTGACTGTAAACTATTGAACTAACAATTATTTTGTACATTTGTATACTTTTAATTTCTGCAACCCCATGACTCCCTGGTGTACCATATAATAATTAAGAATAAAATGACTTAATCAGACCTTTAAAAATAAGGAAGACTTTTAAAAATAAGGAAGTGAAGAAATAGATTGATGTGTCAAAAAATGATTGATATTTTTATTTTAATTTTTCAAACTGTTCAATAATATATCGACACGTGTTCCAATTGAGTTTAAGTCCAAATGGGAAGGATGATTGAAAAAGTAAGCTGCACAAACAAATTCCCATATCTGCCCCTCTTCTCCAGTTGTATAGAGACACCAATGTTTGGGACGTCGCGCCAACTACTCATAATTCGTTCATTTGGTTGAAATCTCCTTTCATCAAAATCAATGTTGCAGCCTTTAACATTTTAAAATGGACAAAAAAAACAAATGAGATAAAAGGAAACGAGAGGGAGTCACATGCATTATGGGGGACAAGAGTGGAGTTCAAACGGGAGTAAAATTGTAGTTTATTATATATTTACACGATCAAAGCATTAAAAAATTATATTTACATAATCATAGCATTAAAAAATTATTTCTTCTGGCCTACTTTAAGGGACAATTCATCGAACGATGGAATACAAGAAATAGTACTTTTATTTTTTTGTCACAGCCAAAAAGAACATAAATTGGCGTAAATTGTGAAAGGAAATGAGAGGGAGTCACATGCATTATGGGGACAACAATGGAGATTATAAGAATGAATTTTTGAATAGTGTATTGATAATAAATATGTGATTAAAAAATAATCTTCAAAACTTTTCACTATTTATTTATTTTATTTTTTTTAAATGCGATGTTAACCAAAAACGAGTTACAAAATGTCTTAAAGCTAATTCCCTTATAAATAATCAGATTTACTGAAATAATACCTTATTTTCGAAAAACTTGAGCTGATCAAAAAAGTAAATTTCGTTGCATATTTTTGAAATTTATTTTTATCATTCATTGCATTTTTATGTATCTAGCAATTCCCCCACTCCAAAGAATATACATGAATGTTATATTATGTTAAATTTTGTCCGATTATTGGAGTCATATTCACATACTTAGTAATGTATGAGTGCATAATAGGACTGTAAGCAAAAATCATCAAATCGAAAAATCGAATCCAAACTGCATTTTAGAAAATGTCGATTTGGTGCCATGTGGACGCGGTTAACAAAATGGTTTTAACCCAAACCAAATTGGTTAAAATAATTTGGTTTAGTTTTGAGAATTTTAATTTCGGTTTAAAACTAAATCGGACCGACGAAAAAATATATATAAAAAATGAAAAAATGATTTTTTTTTAAAATTCATCCAAACATGTAAAATTCAATAGTTTTGTAATTTGTGGTAGTTTTGTCATTTGTGGGTATTTTTGTTAATTTCTAATTTTCTAATACAGATTTATTATTATCCAATCATCATATTTTATATCTAATAATCTCAAAACTAATATAATCTATCAAAAGTCATTTTTCTCTTCAGAATTTAGATGAAGTCCAGCCGACATCCAACACAATCTTAAGCCACCGGCACCACACATTTCTTTTTCAGATTTTTCGCATATCTTCAAAGTTGAATAGTCTATTATACCAAATTGAAAACAAAGAGATCCTAGACATTCGATGATAATATTTGCTACGAATAAAGTTTCAGATCAATAATTTTTTTGGAACAAACTAAGGTAAGAATCTGAAATTAAATACGTTTCGTAATATCATATAAATGTAAACTTGTGTAATTGTTATATATAGATATTATAAACAATTGTTTTAGTATTGTGGTTGGTTATTCTCTTTGCCTAATCAATATCATTTTTTCAGATATGATGATCACGAGATCTTATTGGACATCATTATATTTTTTGGGTCTTATATTTAATTTAGTAAACTTGTATTTTAACGTTATTATATTGTCATTAGCCTAAAAAGGTGAACAAAAATGAAAAAAATAAAAAAACTTTGTTTTAGTTTATTGTAATTTTTTTTTAATTTAGATGGTATTTAAATTTATAGTAGATGTATTTAGCCTCTGTTTGAGCCATATTTTCTATATCATCATAACGAGAAAATTGATCGTTGGAGAGGAGGCTGGGTCCCACACATGAAACAACAGGTCAAAAAAGGCGTCTGGACTTGTGGGATAATGGTCCAAATTTTCATTTTTTTGTTCCAAAAATTTGGATCAAACAGGGGTTTAGTTTGTTTTAAATTTATTGCTAGTAAGATATAAATATATATTGAATTCAATGAATTAATGACATAAAAGTAGATGAAAAAAAATATATTATGAAACCGATGGTTTAAAATAGGACCAGATCATTAGGTTTAGGTATGAGTTCTTTTCAAACCCTTCAAAATTGTTTGGTTTATGTTTGGGTTTTTCTCAAATCGTTTTAAACAATTTGGTTTGAAAATCTGTCAAAAATCTGTAAAATCGGACTATTTACACCTCTAATGCATAATAAAGAAGATAACAATTTTCTAGATTTTCCCCTTTTTCTTTAATTTTAAGTTACCTACTAATTATAGTGTTTTACCATTTTTGAACCTGTATAATTTTGAAACTTCTAACTTTGATTCTTTAATTGATGTATGAAAGATCTCATTTGGTTATGAATATAATTTTTTGATTTCAAATTTACGAAAAAATTGACTTTTTCACTATTACTTACATTGCAACTGTGTACGTATTTCACTCTTTCCTTAAATTTGATCAATTATTTAGGGTCCGTTTGATTGCAAAAATATAATATAATTTCGGCTGAAAGCAAACGAATTGCGGAGAATTGAACTGCCTAGATTTTGGTTTTACTAGGGATTGTCAATTAAATGTGTTTGACTAACATAATTTTTCAACTGAAAAATGTTGACATTTTCTATCTTTTAGTGTTCATTTAACTTTGTTTTCATGAAAATTGTCAATTGAAGGAATGAAATTTATTATAATTGTGAATATAATTTGTTCCAATTGCCAAAAAGATTTTAAAAAATGCTGGAAAACAAATTTTCACCAAAACCAAAGGAATTAGTTTTTCACCAAATCAAGGAAAAAAGGGTCACGACATG